TCGATGTAATTTGCAGATGATCCCTAAAACTGCGTGCGCGAATATCAAACCTAAGGCCAACTCTACTGAGCTAGGAGGTGATTGCTCTTCTAAAGTATTTCCCAGTTCACGCTCGAGGGCTCGTGCAGCTTCACAAAGCCGCTGAGGAACAGACTTCGCCATGTTTATGCTGCCAAATGTCCCTAATAGTCCTCGCGGCAGCTGTGACGACATAACCTAAAACCCGCCTTGCAGCAACGGTGGCCGTCTGTGGGCGTGGCCAGGCCAGAATGCATTTACAATTTCAAATCGGCTTTCATTCATCGCGATGTGTTAAATGAAAATGCATTATGTTTTTTTTATTTTCATTTTCATTCTGCAGCAAACATTGCACATATGTCTAGGAAAATGCTAAATGAAATACAGAAATACACTTCCATTTACATATTGCAATATCGTTTTGCGTATTACATTTCAAAATTAATTTTGCTACACACATCCCATGCTGTTATGCTGAAAATGTAATCCTGCGTTTCCCAGACGCGAGCGTAAAGGCATTTAGGACAAATAACATTTAAATTATCATTTTGCTACAGTTTCTGCTTGTACTTTATTCACATCAAATTAAGTTTGTGTATAGCATTTTCAATTTAATTTTGCTACTTATAAAGCTTTAAAATGTGGATACAATTTACATATTAAAACAGTGTTTGAAATGAGAAATGCAAACAATGTAATTTAATTTACATTTTCATTCTGCACCAAACATTGCTCATATGTCTTGGAAAATGCAAATTCAAATACAGAAATACATTGCCATTTAACATATTGCATTGCCATTTTGCATATTACATTTTGAATTGAATTATGCTACTCGTATGCTTCCATAGGTTTGTTCTGTAGACTATCAAAATTATATAGCTTAAAGGGGTGAATAATATTAACCTTAAAATGGTGTTTAAACAATAAAAACTGCTTTTATTCTAGCCGAAATAAAACAAATCAGACTTTCTCCAGAAGAACAAATAATATCAGACATACTGTCAACATTTCCTCAATCTGTTCAACATCATTTGGGGAATATTTAAAAAAGAAAAAAAATTAAAAGGCGGCAAATAATTCTGACTTTAACTATAAAACTATACGTAGAAACAATATAAATGAACAACATAAACATATAATTTGGTTCACTCAGAAATGCCAACTGTCAGGGTAGAGACTCGAACCGAAGGCATTCTTGCTGTGAGACCACAGTGCCAGCTATTCTTCATGCTGCCCTACAGAGGAAAAAGAGGAGGAGAGCGGGTGGAAGGAGGGATTCTTCAAGACAAAGATGACTCAAGGTAAGATGCTAGGTTAGATAGGAATCGTCTGATTGGTGGTTCGTACATTAGCTTGACTCGGGGCCAGCCGTGTCGATCATAAGCACGTGATCCTCGTGAAATTAGTTTATAAATAAACTTCACTATATATATTTTTTGTTTTATTTATTAGCATTTTTTATGAGTTTATACTCATATTTTAGTGCAAACTGCTGTGAGTTTTAAATAAAATAAAAAAAAATAAAATAAAATCATTGAATAAAAACTCTATAAATCAAAATTATTATTATATATTTTTCTTAATGATTTTTAACTAAATTTAGTTATTTAATTTTGATTTTTTTAACTATTTTTATGAAAAAAAAAATCCTTGACAATCAATATCCCTAGAGATGAGGGGGAAATAAACAATAATTAACATCACATAAAACTTTGCTGACTTTGGTACCTAATCTAAATGAAAACAGAGATTGTGGCTCGGCAACTTTTAAAAGTTTATTCATTTTTATTTGAGTTCTTATTATATTTAAAGTTAAGCATAGGTTTGTTTAATTGTTATTTTTAATTTTTGATGGTTAAATTGTACCCGTATTTTCTTGGCAAGTAGTAATTACGCTGCTTATTTATTTGTCATTGTTGTATATTTTTAATGTCTAACTAAACTTAAACTACTTCAACTTAAACCCTAAACTAAACTAAAATGGTCCCCTTGTCAACTACTAATAACATAAACCTTTTCATCTATTTATTATCTACTCAATTAACCGCCTTTATTTCAAGTAAGATATTCTCTTATGTTGTAATGTCAGTTTCAGCTGACAGTGGTAGCCCAGGCATGCGTGTCTAATAGAGGAGTATATATAAATATGTCTGAGCGTGTCTAGAAGAAGGTTTAATGGCTTTGCATTGATTCCACATGCAGTCCTGATCAGCATTAAAGGCTTCAGTTCAGCTCTAGTGACAATAACAGCTGCTCACACTTTTTACAGACGGACCACAGCCCTGGAGAAGTCACAGTCTAGATACACACCACAAACCTGGAGATAACACACTTGTGGAGGAGATCGAAACATTGAGAATTTACTGAGAATTTAGGGTAAATGCATTGCTTTTGAAGAAGAACAAGAGTTTGTATTGTAAACGCACTGCTTTTGAAGAGGAGCAAAACAACATTCGGGGTAAATGCATTGCTTTTAAAGAAGAACGAAACACTGAGAATTTACGCTAACTGCACTGAAGAGGACGGAAAACAGAGTTTACTGTAAATGCATTGGTTTGAAAAGGGCATTGTGTTTGAAGAGGAACAAATCTGAGAACTTACTGTTCAATGCTTTTTGAAGATCAACATTTTATTGACAATTTACTGTAAAATGTATTGAGAAGAAATATCATAGAATTTTCGGAAAAACTATTGTAAATTCATTGCTTTCGGCGAAGAGCAAAACTAAAGTCTTGGTAAATGAACTGCTTTTGAAGAGCGGCAAAACTGAATTTGAGAATTAGTGACTTTTAAAAAGGAACCAAACTAAATTTACTGTAAATTAATTGCTGTAAAGAAGACTGAAACAAAGTTTACGGTAAATGAATTGTTTTATAAGAAGACTGAAAGTGAATTTACTGTAAATGCACTGCTTTTGATGAGGAACAAAACAGAAGACAGAATTTACTGTGCATTTACTGCTTTTGAAAAAGAACGAAACTGAGATTTTACTATAAATGCATCCATTTTGAGGACCGAAACTGAGAATTTACAGTAAGTTTATCGATTTTGAGGACCGAAATTGACAATTTACTGTAAGTTTATTGATTTCGAGGACCGAAATTGACAATTTACTGTAAGTTTATTGATTTTGAAGACCAGAATTGACAATTTACTGTAATTGTATTGATTTCGAGGACCGAAATTGAGAATTTACTGTAAGTTTATTGATTTCGAGGACCGGAATTGACAATTTACTGTAAGTTTATTGATTTCGAAGACCGAAATTGACAATTTACTGTAAGTTTATTGATTTTGAAGACCGGAATTGACAATTTACTGTAATTGTATTGATTTCGAGGACCGAAATTGAGAATTTACTGTAAGTTTATTGATTTCGAGGACCGAAATTGAGAATTTACTGTAAGTTTATTGATTTCGAGGACCGGAATTGACAATTTACTGTAAGTTTATTGATTTCGAAGACCGGAATTGACAATTTACTGTAAGTTTATTGATTTTGAAGACCGTAATTGACAATTTACTGTAAGTTTATTGATTTTGAGGACCGAAAATGACAATTTACTGTAAGTTTATTGATTTTGAAGACCGAAATTGACAATTTACTGTAAGTTTATTGATTTTGAAGACCGAAATTGACAATTTATTGTAAGTTTATTGATTATGAGGACGGAAACTGAGAATTTACTGTAAGTTAATTGATTTCGAGGACTGAAATTAAGAATTTACTGTAAGTTTATTGATTTTGAGGACCAAAATTGAGAATTTACTGTAAGTTTATTGATTTTGAAGACCGAAATTAAGAATTTACTGTAAGTTTATTGATTTTGAAGACCAAAATTAAGAATTTACTGTAAGTTTATTGATTTTGAAGACCGAAATTGACAATTTATTGCAAGTTTATTGATTATGAGGACAGAAATTGAGAATTTACTGTAAGTTTATTGATTATGAGGACGGAAACTGAGAATTTACTGTGAGTTTATTGATTTTGAAAACCAAAATTGAGAATTTACCGTACGTTTATTGATTTTGAAGCCCGAAATTGAGACTTTACTGTAAGTTTATTGATTTTGAAGACCGAAAATTAGATTTTATCGTAAGTTTATTGATTTTGAGGACGGAAACTGATAATTTACTGTAAAGGCATTAATTTTAATAATTGAAATTGAAAATTTACTGTGCATACATTGCTTTTAAAGATCAAAACTGAATCTACAGTAAATGCACTGCTATTGAAGAGGATCAAAACTTTTCAATTCAACCAGATTTGGTGCACTGATTAAAATGTTTCTCCTGAGGCAAAACATCTCAAAGCAGCACACAAGCAGCGATGTCATGCCAAGAAGTGGAGTGCGAAAATCCAATACAGAGGACTCGAAGAGACAACGCAAAGCCAGCTGCATGGAGAATTTATCCTCGGTGGAGCGAATCCGCAAACAGGCCACCAAACACCTGGGCTTCCGCACGCTCAGCCTGGCCATGCGCGGTCTGGAGGAGCCGCCGGAGGAGCTTTGGGAGATCCTGGAGCTCCAGAAACTCAATCTCTCCTTAAACACACTCTCCACTCTTCCGGCCGCTGTGGGGAACCTGCAGAACCTGGTGATCCTCAATCTGTGGGGGAACGATCTGCTGGATCTGCCGCCGGAGATCGGCCGACTGGTGAATCTACGGGTGCTTTTTGCACATAAAAATCGGCTGACGGACGTCCCAGAGGAGCTCGGACACTGCAGCAATCTGGAGGTGCTGAGTCTGGCCAACAACCAGATCAACGCGCTACCCAACAGGTGATGCTAATAAACCAACGCTAATGCTATTAGTCTGCAAACATGTTCATTAGAAAAAATCTACTAAATAAAACCCGCCAGATCCACACGCTGTCCAACCGGTACATTTACTAAATGAAAACTTAAGACATTCATTCATTCATTTTCATTCGGCTTAGTCCCATTATTCATCAGGGGTCGCCACAGTGGAATGAACCGCCAACTTATCCAGCATATGTTTTACACAGTGAATGCCCTTAAATGGGAAACACCCATACACACTCACTCACACACATACACTACGGCTAATTTAGTTGATCAATTCCCCTATAGTGCATGTTTTTGGACTGTGGGGGAAACCGGAGGAAACCCACACCAACACAGGGAGAACATACAAACTCCACACAGAAACACCAACTGACCCAGCCGAGACTCAAACCAGTGACCTTCCTGCAGTGAGGCTAAATGCTAACCACTGAGCCACCATGACGCTGAAAACCTAAGACAAATTTTGACATAAACAATAAATAAATACAAACAATTTTGTGAAAAATTCCAAAATGAAAAATAATACAAAATTCACAATAAACGAAAACTAAAACTAAATAGAATCAACACTGAAATACTGACGGAAATAAAGCAAAACTAAACTATCGGTCAAAAAAATGACGAATACTCTGCATTATGTTGTGCAAAATTGACAAAAACTGATACAGTATCTCAATATTTTTAAGATAAATGCAATGTTAATTTACAAAAGTAGATTAATAAACTGAATCCGCTAAAATGCAACACACACAACACCTAGACTATGGGTCTACTAAGGCTAATAGTGAACAAAAACTATGAGAACACTTTTACAATTACAAAACTCAAACCAAACATAAAAAACTGAACAGAAAAGTTCTGCCCTCAGCTGATGATTGATTATAAAGCGTTTGGCATGCTGTCCCGGGAGAGAGCCCTGAGCTCATGAGATCCTCGAGCTGAGGCTCCCTCCCATTTGCAAGGCGAGAGGGGAGTTTGAGCTCAGGCAGATGTGGAGAACTCCCCTGCTGTAGTAGCTGGTGAACAGATAGTGATCGCTCTTAACAGATAACTACTGACTAGCAGCATGTCTATGTGCTGATGTGGATTAGTCAATTAACTTAAGCTGCATGTTTTTGGACGGTGGGAGGAAACCGGGGAAAACCCACGTGAGCACAGGGAGAACATGTGAACTCCACACAGAAACATCAGCTGGCTCGGTAAGGACAAGAACCAATGATGTTCTTGCTCTGAGGCAACAGTGCTAACCACTGGGCCACCGTGCCGCCCATCTAGGAAAGGAGGAGGAGTAGGGGTGGAAGGGGGGACTCTTCAAAACCAAGATGGCTGTGATATGGAGCTGAGGGTATTTATAGTGGCTTAAGACTCGTCTGATTGGTGAATCATAGATTGGATAATACAGGACCGGCTGTGATCAATCATAAGCACATGATACTCTCCAAATTAGTTTACAAACTTCACTTAACAAATCCAATAATGAAACAAACCAAACTGAAACGTACACTATTGTAGACACAGGTTGGAAATAAATATTTTGCGACATTTTTTATGTTTTGCTGTAGAGTTTGGGTAAAATGAATGTTACGGGCGCAGTGTGACAACATCAACTTCAGTCGTTTTTCACACTATTTAGATTTACAGCTACACACTATTGTCAGATAAAGGGTTTTGTTTTCATGTGGGTATTCGTGAAGAATTTGACCTAATCAAATGCTTTTGCCTTACTAACTTTATCCGTAAGCTCTTTTTTTTTTTTGTTCTTGGAGTGGTCAGCTTGCTCGGTAGCTCACCTTGTAAAGTGTTGTACATGGGAAGCAGAAGGGAGTGGATTTGTGTGCAGCAAAGGACGATTGCAGAAATGACAAAAACAACATGAAACTACATGGCCACGGTGCACTTTTCTCTTCTCGTTTGCTTTTGAAAACACTATCGGTTGGGTTTTGGACGGACAACGACAACTATTGATCCTTTTCGCAATACTTACATTTACAGCTACAAATAATCACTGAATAAAGGGTTGTTTTCATACAGTTACTGTTGAAATTATTCACCCTTGTGTGAATTTTTCTTTTCTTCATCAAATATTTCCCAAAATGATGTTGAGCAGATTCAGGAATTTTTCACAGTATTTCCTCTAATATTTTTTCTTCTGAAGAAAGTCTTATTTGTTTTATTTTAGAGCAGTTTTTAATAGTTTTAAAGCCATTTTAAGCTCAATATTATTGGCCCCTTCAGCAATATTAGTGTTGGATTGTCTCCAGAACAAACCACTGTTATACAATGACTTGCCTAATTACCCCTGACTTGCCTAATTAGTGAATAATTGTGACTTCAACTGTTTATTATTCATTCATTCATTCATTTTCCTTCGGCTTATTTTGGATCATATTCATGATAGATCTTTGCCCAGCACTGTTCAAAACTGCTCACCTTTGATAACTTTGTCTCTCCAACAGCCTGTGCAGCCTCCGCAAGCTCACCAAACTGAACCTGAGCCACAACCGCATCCAGCACATCCCAGCCTGCGTCTACAGCATGCGCGGTCTGCAGTTTCTGCATCTGGCCAACAATCGGCTGGAGAATCTGGCCGATAAGATCCAGGAGCTGCAGAGTCTGAAGATCCTGATCCTGGAGCAGAACCTCCTGCAGGTTCTCCCCCGAACGCTGTGCTGTCTGACCGCTCTGGAGCTGCTCAACGTGGACCACAACGAGCTGCAGAGCCTGCCGGAGGACATGCACAGGCTGCGGCGGCTGCAGAAACTGGCCTGCCACCCGCTGGATAAAGGGCTGCATGTTGTCCACAACCCGCTGCTGAAGCCCATCCGAGAGGTGCTGCAGGACGGTCTGACGGGGCTCTACAGCTACCTCAAACCTGCATGAGGATTGAGAAAAGCTTCATCGTGGAGTTTATCAGTCCTCTACTCATCTGCATGCTGTGTTTAGCATGTGTCTCTTATTTAACACACCTGATTTAGATAACCAGCTCAGTGGTAGAGGATTTATGATTAATGCATTGTTTTCGAAAAAAAAAACTAAAGTGAGAATTTGCTGTAAATGCATTGATTTTAAAAAAGAATGAGGCAGAGTTTACTGTAAATGCACTGATTTTGAAGAATAAAACTGAGAAATTACTGTAAATGCATTTATTTTGAAGAAGAATAAGGCAGAATTTACTGTAAATGCATTGATTCAGAAGTTCAAAAGTGAGAATTTACTGTGAATGCATTGATTTTAAAGAACAAAACTTACAACTGCAACTCAGTACTGGGAAACACCCATACACTCTCATTCTCACACACACACACACACACACACACACTCATACACTATGGCCAGTTAAGCTGATCAGTTCCCCTATAGCGCATGTGTTTGGACTGTGGGGGAAACCTGAGCACCCGGAGGAAACCCACACCAACACGGGGAGAACATGCAAACTCCACACAGAAACACCAACTGACCCAGCCGGGACTCGAACCAGTGACCTTCTTGCTTTGAGGCCACAGTGCCGACCACTGAGCCACCATGATGACCTCCAATATTATTACCATAAATCAATTAAATTCTGTAAACAGCAGCGTCTCACAGTCAAATCTCACACAATAACATGGAGGAACAAATAAAGAAACACACACACACACACACACACACACACACACACACTGCGGTTACGGGGGATTAATCACAGGTTATTATTGACAGACGCCGCAGTAAATCAGATCTGGGCTCAGTCATTACACACATCTTCATCCGGACTTTCCATAAGCAGTGCCGATTGTTTCTGTCAGAGATCGGATCGTCCCTGCAGCACTTCAGCGCGCTTCAGTCAGTGATTCAGTGCTGTGTTTGGAACGTCTGCGGTCGTGATTATAACAGCAGATGATAAAATTATCTCTAAAAATAACTGAATGTCATTGCACTGCTGCGTGTGTGTGTATGCGTGTGTGTGTGTGTGTGTGTGTGTTTTAACACTACAACGCAGGACAATTGTGGTTTAAAATACAAACTAAAATAAAATAAAATGACAAAAACAAAATCAACAAACAACATGTGAAGTATAATAAATAGCCGCTATTACGCATTATAAAAGGTCATATTTTGGTTTGGGGGTCTCTAAAAACAGGCTGATCTGCATACAAGGTCAAAAAACCCTTTCATTGTCTTATCATTCATTCATTCATTCATTTTCTTGTCGGCTTAGTCCCTTTATTAATCCGGGGTCGCCACAGCGGAATGAACCGCCAACTTATCCAGCAAGTTTTTACGCAGCGGGTGCCCTTCATTGTCTTATAATCTGCATTTATTTTTAATAATTACACTAGTTTGAGCTTGTGAAATTCTGTTGGACAGCACTGTGAAAAGGGGCGGGAGCAATTGGTTCAGCGAGCGATTGGTCCATGTGTTAAATTTCTGTCGAGAGAGCTCATGTTTTGATCCTCAATTGGTCTCACGCAGTCAAATGATGCGATTTTGCAGGTCATAGTTCACTAAGCTTGTGAAACTTGTCGCGTGCGTATGAATGGAAGTCTATGGGGAGGAAATTCCAGTGTAACCACAGCTTTAGTGTGGTGCTAATCTGTGCTGTGATTGGTCCGATGACTAGGGTTGGGTATTGTTTGGGGATTTTTCGATACCGATGCTAAATTGATACTTTTAAAATGGTACCGGTGCCAAAACGGTGCCTGGACTGATACTTTTTAGCCACAAAATTTAGTTAGATGACTCTAGATAAATCTTTTATTTGGCAAAATCTTAAAAAAAGAAAATTAATAGAACAATACAACCCAGGCTCGTTCTGAAAACGTAGTCCCGTGGACGTTTCTGGAGACTACGAAATATGCCCAGGGAGGTACATATGGCTGCATTTAATTTTTTAAGCGAACGCTACGGGGCGGTGTGACGCCGTTCCCTTCGTGCTTACCGGCTGACCACTTACCTCCGTGTGGAGGGCTTTCCTGCTGCAATCAGTTTGTCCGGTTAGCTCATCGTGTGCGTCGGTGGACTTCAGATGCAGAGAGGAGCAGTTGACCACGGCGAGCGGGTTCGAGGCCGGGGAAGAGCGGTTCCAGAAATCAAGTAAGGCAAAAACAGAATCCAAAGAATAAAGTGAACGAGTTCATAACAGGGTGACAGCGTGGTGAAATCCGAAAATGTGGTGAAAAAAACAGATGAGGGCTTTTCTTTTTCTAGACGGCTTTTCTAAATTGTTGCTCAGGTTTAGGGAAGTGTGGGCGGGCGGGTCAATCGCTAAAACTGGTTGGGTTCAGGGAAGGAGGAGAGTGGGTCAGCCGATTGGCCTGTCGGGCAGTCAATCATTCGGTTAGTCAGACAGCGGCCTCTGGTGGGTTGACGCCAGAACAGCACGGGCGCGAACGGCACTCACGAGAGACATTCGAGATACGAAAATGCGCACAAAGCGGCCTCTCTTGTAGATTCGGGAAAAAAAACTGCACAAATACGTACCTCCCGGGACGTATTTCGCGGACTCCAGAAACGTCCGCTGGACTACATTTTCAGAATGAGCCTGGGTTGCAACAATATATAATTTAAGCTTAAAGTAGGGCTGTCAAAATCAGCAAGTTAACGCATGCGATTAATTTGAAATATTTAACATGTAAAAAAATAACGCAAGTGACGCAGTTGCATTTGTTTTTATGTCCTGTTGTGGCTGACGTGTGTTCAGGGATGGCGCGTGCATAGGCGCGACTTAGGCGGCTGCCTTGGGCAGCAGAATAGCGAGCAAACCCCCGGTCTTCACTTTCATCCGCTACACCCACCCCCTCCCTAACGGCACTCATTTTCATCCACGAACTGGTCACTTTCTTTTTCACTTTGGTGGCCAGAGAAACTGCAGTACTTGTGAACTTGTCCAGTATACTGTATTAGGTCTTGTGACATTAACTACTTGTTTGTACTAAAATCGTTGAAAGACAGCTAAATTAGCCTGATAGTGTTGGTTTTAGGTTTGATATTGGCCGGAAATTCGTGCACGCTGTTTTAGAAATAATCCTCGAATTGCATTGACAGAACCAAAGCCCTCGACTCCTGCTGTGGGATGAATGTTTGGCGGTTGGTTGTCCTGTGTCATTTTTAGCCATTTTACTTCTGTTTTATACATTAATAATGCACGCTGTGCCATCCATCAAAACTTCTGCCCTCGGGCAATGTGAACGCACTCGACGTCACTCAAATACACCCCTCCAACTGATTAGCATAGGCTTTGCATACAGGTCAACGTTGAAAATGAAAACTGAAATAAAAGTGTCAATAAAAGAAAAACTTAAATGTCCATTTTAATTTGAATTGTGTCACTATTATTGCGAGAACATTAATAACAAGATTTGTAAAACTTGTGTTTGCATTTTATTCTTCAGTTTGGTTGGTCATTTTAATATTGGCAGTATTAATGCAGAAATGCAGATGAAATCAAATGTTATTTCTATTTCTAAAAATTATCGATTTGACCGGGACGATGTTTTGTCACAGTAAAATGTAAACAAAAATTAAATAAATTCATTTAATTTACAATTTTGGCAGACATTTTGCGAACAGTGTTTTTTACTGAACATGCTATCCTGGTTTTTATTTCAATTTCCAATGTTAATTGATACATTTCACGAGTTCACGCTTGCAAACATTTAAGTATAAGGCGTATTTGGCGTGCTGTCCGGGAAGAGGGCTCTGAGCTCGGGGAAGATGCCCAACTCGTGTTATTTCCCTAATCAGGGAATAGAGAGGAGTTGGGAATCGAGCGAAGTATCTAGCCCGGCCACAGAACGCTCCCCCCGGGAATGTAGTGCTTAAGAGGTGAAGTGTCGGGCTGGTGGAGGGGCGCTAAAGTCGTGAGATACTGCAGGTAAGACAACTTATAGGTGTTTGGTCAAGAAATGATTGGATAATAGAATAATTTTCAATGACGTATTTAATGCTGAAACTTCTGCGCATGCTCCTCCCGAAATTTGTTTACAAAAACATCACTTAAAGTTTACATCACATGCTCACAGAGTATATGTGAGAGCCCAATGCAGGAGTGCATTAAAGCAATGCAGTTAAACAGCAGCATATTCCTCTACTCTTAACCCCCAAGTAATACCAATCTTTATAAATAATGTTTTACATTTTACACTCAATTCTGTCCAAAATATATTGAATTTTTTTCTTTTGCTAAAATAGATTCTTATCAAATTTGACTGCAAAGTGCAAACTATTTTTTTTTTATTTTTGCATTAGACTAAAGCTGATTATTTCTACAGCTTTTACATAACGTACGTCACGACTTAACAAGCGGATAGTCAAAAGCGACATTTTAGGTGCGTTTGACTTCATGCAGCGCTGTGCAGATCAATCAAAATCTGTCTTAAAGCGGTGCATGCTGGTTAGAAATTTTGTCCTGATTGACGCTGCACCGATGCAACGTGACTGTCACATGTGGCCAGAGATGAGAAGCAACAAAGTACAAATACTTACGGTACTTCAGTAGATGTTTCTGGTTTCAGTACTTTACTCCACTACTTATTTTTATGACTACTTTTTACATTTACTTCTTACATTCTTACTAGGGTTGGGCATCTAAGCTATAATGCCGATCCGATACGCATCTCGATACAAAGAATACGATCCGATATATTAGCGATACATTTGTGACATATTGCGATGCAACACGATACGATTCACACCCATATCACGATACAATGCGATAATTCAGCACTAACTAATTAGATCAAGTTTATTAGATGATGTGAAGGAGGATGCTGTGCCATTGAATGAGTTTGATTATTTATAAACCAAGCAAAACCAAGACAAACAACAAACTGGCTTTTCTCTCAGAGCCAGAGTGTCAGTTTACAGTAGAGGGCCATTTTAGAACATATAGCACATATTATTTAAGTATTTTCAAGATAAACAGAATGTATAAGTGCAATATATATTAAAAAATATATATATTTGCACTCTTTCAACATAAATAAATTTAGCATTGCACAACAAGAATTGTGATTTAACTTTTCAACTATGAAAACGAGTTTTACAAAGATATATTTTGCCACTGATTATTCAAAACTTAAGGTGGTGAACTAGCAGTGTTATGCTGCTTTCAAACATCACTGTCACTGTAAACAACAGGCTAATAAAAATATAACAAA